CCAGGTAACAGGGGCAGGCCAGCATAATGCCTGAACCTTTCAGCCACCATCTAGAGTCATTTGTGCCAGGGTGGGGGTGTGTGCTAAGGGTCAACAGGTCTGGGCAGCTGGGCTGTACAGAGGTCTCTGTGTGTGGTATGTATGCATGTATGTATGTATGTATGTATGTATGTATGTATGTATGTATGTATGTCTCCCTTGGGCGGTCTTCTCCTTTGTGGTATTTCTGGTGTCTCTGTGGACCCTCCCCCACTTCTCTCTTTCTCATTACTCTTGCCAAACATCTGGAAGAAAAGTGAAAAACTTGCCCCCCCCCCCAGGCCCGGATGTTGTCAGATTTCCAGATGTGGGGTGTTCTGTCCTCCAGATGAAGGGAGGAATGTGTTCCAACCAGGGATGGGGACACAGCCCTGGACTTTTATCCATTCATCAGGAGGGTGAGTGACAAGATGAGAGGATCCAGGATCCAGGATCCAGGAGGAAGATGGTGTGGTGCCCCAGGCTGAAGCATTGGTACCTTGTCTCAGCTGAGTTTATACCATTTTTCATGCCAGAGAAGCCCCTTGGGGCTTAGGGTGGGAGGCGCTGCCTCTGAAGTTTCTATCAAAGGCACTTAAAAATAACTAGGAACACCCCCCCCCCCCCCGCGCGCGCATGCACAGACACTAGGCGGGAACAGAACCCAATGTGTTTGCAAGATGTCCTCACTCTCTGAGTTTGTGCTGGAAGGGCCTTATGCCACCTCAGTCTCTCCATTTCTCCAAGTGGTGGCCCAGCCAGGCTGTGCTATGTCATAGCCATCTGCCAAGGGCAGGGGACCAAGGGAGTGGCTCCAGGAGCTGGGCACTGTTGCTTGCGCCCTGGGGGATGAACCTTAGGAGTAGGAACTGAGGGGTCAAAATCTGAGATTGGAGCCCAGGGCCGAACCTTGCCCAGCACCTTGGGGTCCCTCAGAGATGTAGGATCCCCTGGAGCAGAAGGAAGCATGGGATGATGGGAGGAGAAGCAGAAAGTTTCAGAGAGGGCAAATGGAAGGGCCAGCAGGAAGGGACAGAGGGAGCAGTGGGAACTAGGGGCGAGCAAGAGACCGGACCCTGGAGTCTGCAGAGGAAGATGAACGCTGGGCATCACAGGGAGGGGCAGAGACAAGCAAAGGGGGTGAAACCTGAGACACTAGTCAGGGCTCGGCAGGAGCTATAAAAGGAGCTGTTGAACTAGCATGGGGGACAGTCCTCGAGGGAGCGCTACCCTTTCTGCTTGCGCTTGGGGTGTTCCTGGAGACCCTATGACTATGCTGCAGCTGTCTGCTGTAGCTAGACACTCACACACCAGTACAAATAAACACTCAGGCATAAATACACAGAGGCCACATCACAGACACCCACTCAGACCCACACAGACATACATGAACATGAACACCTGGAAACAGACCCTTCTCCCAGACCCAGTCTGGCCCTCACAGACCCTGGCACGGAGACACCCAGACAACACATACAAATGCCCAGAGACCTCCTACCACCCGCCCAGTCTGGGACCCCCTACCTGGGAAGGTGCCTGCACAGAGATCCATACCTACCTTCCCTTGCTCTTGAGCACAGGACCTGGGATGCCCAGGTGTAAAGTGTAACTCAAGAGTGACCCTTAGGTCATCTCAGTCCCTACTATGGTGCAAAGCATCCAGCACACACTTTTGTTAGAATCTAACCAGTACCTGTCCAGAATGTATGGGCCTGCCGAAGAGTAGCTCTCTCTCTCTCTCTCTCTCTCTCTCTCTCTCTCTCTCTCTCTGTGTGTGTGTGTGTGTGTGTGTGTGTGTGTGTGTGTGTGTGGTCTGTCTGTCTGTCTGTGTCTGTGTGCTCAGAGTACAGGCTAAGCAATGGCCTCTGTCTCTCTCTCTCTCCCTCCCTCTCCCCAACAGGTGACTGAGGGAATGGAGCACCCTCCCCTCCCCCAACTCATTCCTGGGCCTGAACAATGCCCTCTCCAGGACCCAAAATAGCCCCTTGAGCAGAGCCAATGCCCTTTTATGGCCCTGTCCCTATTGTGCACGGTAGGGGTGGGGCTGGGGTCATGAGGTATAGGGCAGGATAAAGCCCAGGGTGGCAGAAGGCTCACCTACCCACTCTATCCATCCTTCCTTCTTCCCACCTCTCTGTGATCACAGCTCCAATGGCCCCCAAAAAGCCAGAGCCCAAGAAGGATGATGCCAAGGCTGCTGCCCCCAAAGCAGCTCCAGCCCCTGCAGCTGCACCTGCGGCTGCACCTGAGCCCGAGCGCCCCAAGGAAGCAGAGTTTGATGCTTCCAAGATTAAGGTGAGTGAGGGAGCTGCATTGTAGCAGGAGGGACAGAGCGAATGGGTGGATCTCAGAGTGGGACTTAGCATGGCAGATAAGAACCTCGATAGAAGCTGGCACTTTCTGTGCAGGGGTTAAACAAGACCTGCTTGTTTCAGATATCCACAGGACCAAAGGAGGAGGGGTGGTGGTCAGACAACTGGTGAGACTCCCCTGAGGCTGCTGAGAGATCACCATACTTAAGAATAGAGTCTGGACTGGGAAATAACTTTTGGTGATTTTGAAAACCCACTCCTCTTGTTTTTCTCTCCGGATTACATCCTTAGGAAATCCTGCAGCCGGCTGTTCCCCACTCTACAGGGCTCTTTCTTCTCTGACTGAGAGGGGGGTGGGGTGTCTCAGGTCCCTGTCAGGCATCCTTAGGTGGTGGGGTGTGTAAGGGAAATCAGGTCCTTGCTCAGCCTGGGTGACACTCACCCCTGCCGAGATCACCAAGCCCAGAGCTGGCAGAGCCCCCTGGCTTCACTTTTAGCTGGGAAAATGGAGGAGCAGGCTGGAAAGGGAGTCTCTGAAAGTCATGCAGGAAGCTGGTTGTGGAGCATGACCAAGCAGCACCATGAACTTTCCTGGCCCAGTTGTCTTTTCCAGAGTCTAAACTGGGAGGGCGAGCCATGCCTGCCACCTGTGGCATCCACATAGCAGCACGCAGCCTGCGTCCTGTTCTCAGCTGGCCAGTGGCCACTGCTGCTCTGGCTGCCTCTTGAGGGGCCTGTGGAGGAGTCCTTTCCACCCACACATATCCACCAAGCCGAGCCATTCTTATAGAGCCTCCATCTGGTCATATTCCCTTCCCAGAGGCACCTGCCTATGTCTGTTGTTTGTATCACCTTAGTTGCTCTAGTCCTTCGCTTTCTCAACTGTGAAATGGGGCCATGAGCCCCTCCACTTTCAAGACTGCTGTACCCCAGAGTTGGCTCACTGTTCCTCTGTCACCCTTAGGCACCAGAATTTGTCCTTAGGATACCTTGTAAAGCTCCAACTACCTTGAGTCCCATGGTGGCATTGTCCAATCTCACCAGGCATGAGGTTGACATAAATTTATGCCTCAAAAGAGGGAGGTGAAGAGGCCCCCTCCCCTGCCTTTCTGTCTCCCCAGCTGGCAGAGAAGCTCAGAGACTTTTCCAGAAGCCAGGGAGCCCTGTCTCCCCAGGTTTTCCCATGGAGAGCTCCCAGTGAGTCAGGAATGAGGGCCACCACAGCAGGTGACAGGCAGAAGGTGTCCTTCTGTGCAGCGCTATGCATTCTGGAGGGTGGAGGGGCTCTCAGGTGCCAGTCATGCCCTCTTCCCCCAGCTCCTTTCTCTGGTGTGACCTTGACTTTGGGGAGAGTGACTGCAGTGATAAAAATAGACTGGAAGCAGATGAGGAGGGGGCTACTGGGTCCCAGGAGGCCTCCCGACCTCAGGGTGGCCCCATTGTGGCCTCAGAATGCTACGTAGTCTATCTCTGTGCTATGCTGGAGTCGGGGAGCTGCCTTGGGGCCAGGTACAGGCAGGTACAGGCAGGGCTTTGTGGATTAGTGTCCAGCCATGAAGGCCCCAAAGGGATCTGGAGGGACAGACACACATATGTACACAAGCATGCACACTTGATTACTCACAGACATGCTTCCATGCTGACACAGCCTCTGGCCTGAAGCCGGATGCTTGCTCCTCCCCCCAAAGTCAGCTTGGTCAGGCCTGTGACATTGAGCATATCCACCGTGGCCTGACTGATACCACAACCTGATTACACATAGACCCAAGGCCTTCAGTTTGGACAGATGTGTATGGGGTCGTTGCAACAGCAGGAAGGTGTCTGGGTGGACAGCAAGAGATCCTGGGTGGCAGCGGCTTATGAGGACAAGCTGGCACAGCCACCTGAGGCCTAGGCAGCCCACGATGACCCAAAGGTACTCAGTCTTTGGACTTCTTTGCAGATCGAGTTCACGCCTGAACAGATTGAAGGTGAGCAGGATCCTGAGCCCAGGGAGTGGTAAGGGGTGGACCAGGGGTCCCCAGTTCAAACCAGTGGGGTGGAGAGTGGGGTAGGATCACCCATGGAGTATCTAGAGCTCACTGCCCTTTCCCACAGAATTCAAGGAAGCCTTCCTACTGTTTGACCGCACACCCAAGGGCGAAATGAAGATCACGTATGGCCAGTGTGGGGATGTCCTGCGGGCTCTGGGTCAGAATCCTACCCAGGCAGAGGTGCTCCGTGTCCTGGGGAAGCCCAAACAGGAAGGTAGCACACCTTGCCCATTAGTGCCAGCCCTAGGGGAGGCTGACAGGGTGGGCGACTATTGGGTATCATGGGAACCTCACTGACTTGCTTCCTGATTGTTCTCTGCTATTGGGATGAGGATACGAGGCTGGCTACCAGGCCATGGTGTTAGGAGACAAGCAGGATGGGCATGCTGGGCCCTTTCTGGCCACAGGGATGGACCCTAGTACTAACCAGAATCCATGCTGGTGCAGTGGTCGGTCAGGGGACATGGGTGCTTGTTTTTTACCCCGGTGTAGCTTCCTCAGCGTGCCTTTGTGGACCTTTGTCAACTTCCCTCACCTTGGCTGCTTGTTTTGACTTGGGAAGAGTGACACCCAGGACCTCATCATAGGTCTAGGGAAGGCCTCTCTTAGGCTCAACTGCGTCTACAGGGGGTAGACAGGATAAGGTCTATAAGAAATGAGACCTGGGCATGGCAATATAGGCCTACAAACCCAACAACCAGAAGTCTGAGGTAGGTGGATCACCATGACTTGGAAGCCAGTCTAGGCTACATAGTTCCAGGATAGCCTGGGCTACAGAGTGAGACATTATCTCAAGAAGGGGAAGGGGTGCTGGGGATGTTGTTCAGCTGGTAGAATACTTGCCTAGCTTACTTGAAACCCTGGGTCGGGCCCTGGCACTACATAAACAGTGCACGGTGGCGCACGTTCAAAGTCTTAAAAAATAAAGGTACTGTAGTGTATACCTCTAACCCCAACACTAGGGAGGTAAAGGCAAGGGAATTGCCATAGATTTGAGGCCAGCCTGGTCTACATGGTAAGTTTCAGACTGGCCTGAGATAGGTAGTAAGATCCTGGAGAGAGACAGAGACACAGAGAGAGGAGTAAAGAACCAAGCCCACCTTGGACTCCACTTGGGATAGCAAAGTTCTGTGTAAACCAGGCATTTCTCAGTAGATTTTCAAGTGCCTTGTGGTGGTGGCACATTTTGCACACAGCACATGCATCAGAGAGCTTAGGAGCCATGGGAGACAGATGGCCCCTCGGTGTTAGGCACAGGGGAAGGTTGTGCCTGTTCATCCTCTGACCTGAGACTTGGGGCCATCTGTCTACAGACCTCAATTCCAAGCTGATGGACTTTGAAACGTTCCTGCCCATGCTGCAGCACATTTCCAAGAACAAAGACACTGGCACGTACGAGGACTTTGTGGAGGGACTGCGGGTCTTTGACAAGGAGGGCAACGGCACAGTCATGGGCGCAGAGCTCCGCCATGTGCTGGCCACACTGGGTGAGGGCAGCCTTCTTCTCTACTCATCTCCATCTCTGGGGTATCCTGGGGGAAAACTCTTGTGTCACCTGCTACTGGGCCCATGTCTCATCCAGGAAATTGAAACAGAACGATAGTCAAGGTGCCTGGAAGGTAAGAGGTAGAAATACCATTTAGGTGTGGCTGATGGAAAACTAGAAGAACCACAGTGAGGGAGGGGACAGCTCTGGAACCAGGGCAGGAAGGTACCCAGGGATTAATAGTCCTGGTATTCATTATTCTTTGTGGCTAAGGAGGTGACATTCCTGTGATATCTGTGAGTTGTAGGTACTTCCCACTGTCATCACCACCATCAGGTTCCTGGTCACCTAACTCCTCAAAGTAACTGTTTTTTGTTTGTTTGTTTTTTGAGACAGGGTTTCTCTGTGTAGCTTTGGAGCCTGCCCTGGAACTCGATATATAGATCAGGCTGGCCTTGAACTCACAGAGATCCACCTGCCTCTGCCTCCCGAGTGCTGGGATTAAAGGAGTGGGCCAACA